GGTAACAAATCATGGACTTAATACTACACATGTTAGTGATTTAACATATCAGTGTGGCAAGGCGATCAGTTTAGTTTCCTCTGCCTTATATTTCCTTTCAGTTTTCCTCCTTGCCAAGTTATAAGAGCTGTATACCAGGGTGGCCAGGCCAGTAACAAGGTGCCCCCTGTCAAGCTATGCAATGTAGGATATAACTCAGTCTAAACACATTTGTTTTGCTGATGCTCATAAAGAGGTTAGGAGAGATTAACATGTTCTTCCCTACATGTGGTTCACCACAGATGTGACCTGTCATCCCAGGTGTCTACCTAGTCCAATTTTTCATTTTAGGAAAGTCAGAGGGTAAGGGACTCTGTGCCACTGTGCCTCGTGCCCAGTGTTATAGATGAGATCTGATCTGCAAGGCAAATAGGCCCAGCTAAGAATCAAGGTGACAACCCAAGGTACCCTGATGAGATGCCAAGAAGAAATGCAGTAAAATGGCAGTTAAATGAAAGAAAAAAAAAAAAAGGAAGTAAAAGGGCTTTTAAAAGAGGAGGGTAAGATTCAGAAATAAAAAGCAGAGATGTAAGTACCTAGGATTAAATGACAGAACAAATAGAATACTCCTGTGAGCACAGAACAGCCATGAAAACACAACAGCTCTGAAATCTTCAGCAACTTTAAACACAGTCATCCATACTACTTAAAAAGGCAGAGAAGGGGCACGCAGGGCATTTTAAAGTGAGAAATTAAAAGTGCTGCCTCAGGTATCAGCTGCTATCAAGAACTTTTCCTCAAGGTTCCAGGAAGCTGAAAAATCTATCAGAAGTAAACTGAGATCATCCATGTTCCCAATTCTTATAAGTCAAGTATCTTTCTTTAAATTCTCATGTAAATTTAAACACTTTTAATACAACAGGTCACTGTCTCTTCTTATGACTCTATGAACACCACTGCTCATTGACATGACTTAATTTGGGTCCAAACAATTCACTTTTATTTTACTTTCTGTGATGCCGGGGATTGAATCCAGGGTCTTGAGCACACTTAAACAAGCTGTACTCACCATCACTGTGCTGCATTCCCAATCCTCACTTTATTTTTCATGCCTACATGAAGAACTGGAGGCAATTTTTTAACAGGCCACTGAATACTTGCAACACAGTGTGTCAAACTCTTATGCAGAAAAGGACTATTGTGAACTAAGAAGCAGAGAGCTATCCAACTAGAGAAACCATTCAGCCAAGTACAGCAACCAGCATGACCAAAATGGTGTTAAGCAAATTTACCATTCATTTTTCTGTCAAATGGCTGCTGACCCACTAGTGAGGTCAACCTAATATCATGAAACCTCAGAGCTAGTTTCATAATACTATTTATTTGCAGTAAGATTCAGGTTTAGTCCACCATGTGGCATTGCAGTGTAAGCTTATTTTAAGTTACTATTGAATGACAGGGCCTTCCAATTGGTGGTGTTATGGAAGAGTGTGCTTTCTAGGACTACATCTGTAGTCACACTGGCAGTGCTGCATAAAGGAACCAAGTCAGTTTCCCTCTGTAAGCTAGGTTTCTAATTCACCTGTACAGCTGACAGCCTAGTCTTTTTTTGAATTTGAGTTTGTGACGGGCCAGGGGAGACTGAACATGAGTGAAGGGGCACTAGTGAAATTCACTGACCAGAGTTTGACTGCTCAGTGGCTAGCACATCATTGGGTTGTATAAAGCCCCTGCTAACAGTTATCACGTAACTATCTAAAACAGTATAATCTGGAGGTCTCAGACTAACTAAAAGAAAAACAAGGTCTTATAATCCCTTAAAGGTAGGAATTTCTGCACAGAAATGCTGAATATACAAATAAGTAGTCCCCGACCTTAAGCAGCGAGTCTTCTCCAGATCCTCACACCACTACCTAAATCTCCATTTTATAACAGAATCTAAGTGGTCTTTTATTTGGAAGAACTTGAACGTGAATGGCTGGGCCTTTCTTTTAGGGAATCCAAATGGGATGCTGAGATTCATGATAAACATCCACACAAATGCACACATCTCATTTGTTCTCACAGTCAATCTGCAAGATAAATGAGGCCTACACTACTACAATTGCACTAAAATTGTAGGATTGCTTATTTCAGTCTCTGAGACACTTTAGTCTAATTCAAATGTGTATTTCTACTTAAAAAAAACTGGTAAAATCTTACAATACAGTTGATAAAATAAACTTCTGAGTATTTTATTTCACGTCTTACTTTGTTATGAAACACCACTTTCCAACCAAATTATTTCAAAGTGTAAAGCACAGTAAAATCTACAGGAGTGACAGCTCTTACCTTATCTGACTCACTGATACAGTGAAGATCGGCAGAAAACCCATGAGTCACAGCTTGTTCACATATTTCTTCTGCTATGGCCTTTGCTTGTCCTTTCTGTGTAGCATACAATAACAAAAACCTCCTCATCACCTCCAGACATGTGCTGTACCTCTAACAGTGACACTGAAAGCCAGAAATAGAAAAAGGAATAACAACCTACAAGTTATCAATTCTACCACAATTTTTAAAAAAAGAATACAGTGATAACCACAACCACACATGATGTGAAATAGCCTACTCTAACTTTGTTTCATAGCACTAATTTTAAATGAACCTAAGTAAGAGAGAATTCATCAAGTTGGGAAGTGTAAAAGAATGAAACTCTAATTCCATTGTCTGGAAATCCAATTATGATTTCAAACTACTTCTGAGGCTTGACAATGGCAAAACACTCCCCTAATCTGTATCTCAGCTCCCTTGTCTTTAAAGTTAGGATCAGAATACCTTCCTGACAAAGAATGTGACAAATGAAAAGCACCTGAGTAAAGCTTATGACAATATCACTTGTAAGTCTTAGACAGCCTTTTGTTTCCTCTTTTTAAAAACGGTAAAAAGTCCCGCTAAGTTGTAGGGTTTATTTGTTTCTATTATATCCCAATGCTAATAAAAAAACTAATCACAGTACTAAAATAAATCACAGTGCACATTGTTGCACAAATTAGCACCAAATGTGCAAATATGTGCACAGGGAAATAATTTCCAAGGCAAACGTTTTGTTTTCCTGAAGAGATAACCAAGAATAAAATAAAGGAGCACTTTTTTTTTTTTTCATATTCATCCAGTAGATAACCCTGGAAGATTTTCAATTTTTAGAGACAAATTTAAATCGCAATCCAAACTAAAATGTTGACTTCTGGCGATCGAATCACCTACAGTTATAGGCTCTTCTGGTCTAATTACACGTTAATCCTGAAGTACTCTTAGGGAGCACGTCAACACCTGGCATACAAGGTGCTCAGTAGCTCAGCCGAAGGAATGGATAAGAGAATATCCATTTAGGACCGGCTTAGAACTGTGGAAACCTGGTGATGCTGTCACCTGCCAGGACTGTCCCCCTCACATCCCACCGCCACCCGTGCCACGGAGCATGACCCCAAAACCCTCGCCCTGGCCACCGGGCGAAGCAGGCTCGCCTCGGGCTCTCAGCGGGTTCCGCGCACCCGGGCCCGGGGCGGGCGGATCGGGCGGGCGGATCGGGCCGGCGGACCCAGCTGCTTTTCTCGAAAGAGCCTAGAACCGCCCCGCGGGCCTCGGCCAATTCCGAGGACCCGGACCGCGCTCCCGGGTCACCCCGCCGCCGGCGCTCAAGGGGCGAAGGGACCACGTGCGTGAGGCCGCTACCCCCACGACTCCCGACCTGTGATGGGCAAAGTCTCAACCCCGGGAACCCGCTGCCGCCCAGCCCTTACCACCGTGACGCAGGCCGGGGACTCGGGATCCACCGGAACGCGGACAGCCCCACCCACGAGCACGGCGAGCGCGCATGCTCGGTACTCACGACCAATAAGAAGCTCCAGAGGGCCGCAGGCCAATCACAGAGCTCCGGTTGTGGGCGGTACCTGGGAGGGTCTCCGCACCGCGCATGCGTCTGGTTGGACGGGCCCCGCCCTGGGTTCTCACCGGGGCCCCGGAGGTCGGCACGCCGTGCGGTTGCGGCTCGGTAAGTGCTCACGGGGGCTTCCCGCCGGCACGCGCTGGGACCCTCTCCCGTACCTATATCTGTACCCGCCCCTGCACACGCCCCTGCACCCGCTCCTACACCCGCACCTGCCGGCCTTCTCGTGCGGGACCCTGCGGCGTGTGAGCGCAGGTCCCCGGGGCCGGAGCTCTGGGCCCGTGGGGTTTTTTCATTCGTGGGAAGGCCCGGCCCCTCTGTCCTGCACACGCATGTTCCCAAGTCCCAGGAGCTGTGTAGCTCTGGACCGGCGGCCCTACCTCCCGCGTCATTGACCTTCCCGGGTTACTTTTTTTTTTTAAAGGTGAGGTTTTCCTTACTCTCCCCTAATCGGCCTTCCCTATGTGTCCGAATTTTGCCCATCACTTATTTTAAAAAATACATTCGCTTTTAACCGAGCTCAGTTCCTTCCTTCCATCCACACGGGAGAGGCGGGGTTGAGAGCTGGATGGCGGAGTTTGAATCGGGCTCTGCCTGAACTGCGTGGGGTCACCTCTGTGCTCCTGCTCCTTCCTCAACTGCAGAATGACCACAGAAGTGCTTATTTTGTGTTCGTTAATGCACATAAGGCACCTAGGACAATGCCTGGTAAGTAATAGCCATTAGCCGCAAGCCATTTTTCTGAACTTTAGGATATAGAAACCCTGCTTTTCTGATGCTATATTTTAGTGTGGAGATTTTTATTAATCCCTGTTTTGGGGTATATGTCCTCAGTTCATAAACTGATGTTTGCGAACTTGAGGTTGAGTGAGGCATGTTCTCAGTGTATCTGACCTTTTCTTACTCTTTTATTTATGTATCAAGAAGCGTTGAGAATCTGATGATGGCATGGCTTTAATCACCTTGAGACGGAACTTCTGCCATTTGTCTGAACTTTGGATACCTGGAGCTGTAGCTGCTTTGAAAAATCACCCCACAAATCATGTTCACAGGATAGTCAAGGAGCCTCTGCACCTTTGGTTCTGTCCCCTACAACCTGAGCCTTTCAGGGTCAGGTTCCATCATGCCTGTTGTAAAAAGTTCCATTCAGAAAATAGAAATGACCTGCATCCAGTTGGTGAGCCTGTGGTGTCTCAAGCACATGACTGGGACAGACTTGAGCAAAATCTTCAAAAAGAGAATGAGAAGGTATTTTACAGGAGACTGAACAACTTCACCTCCTCAGAAGAACTGCTAAGTTTTATAAGCACTCTGGAAACTCTGCCTGTCTCTCTGGCAGCAGGAGCTTTGCAGCGGATTTGTGAAGTGAGTAAAAGAGATGGCAATAAAGGGCTGCCAGAAGAAATACTAGAGAACGATGTCTTCCAAGCTTTATGCTTTAGGTTTGAGCAAGAACTTTCACATCTGTCAAACACTGGTTTTGTGACTATTCTGCAGGCTCTTACTCTATCACATGTGGATACTCAAAGTAGCCTGATACCGAGCCTCGTAGCAGAATGCCAGAATCGCCTCAAAAGAGGCAGCCTGGAAGTCCATAATCTTTGTATTGTTGGGGAATGTCTGATTCGACTGCACAGTGCAGCTCCTGTGATGCTAGACTTGATTCTAGAGCAACTGCAAGGTCAAAAGCTGGAAACATTTACCCCAGATGATATTGTGGCCGTTTATAGAATACTGCAGGCATGTCCTGAAAAAGTAGACCAATACCAAACCTTTTTAAACAGAATAAACAACATTTCCCTTTCATTAGTTTCCTACCTGAGCCCTAAATTGATTAGCCAGGTGCTCGCTGCTCTAGTGATTCTTGATCAAACTCATGCACTTCCTCTGGTTATAAAATTGGGCAAATATGCTGTGAAATACATTCCTCACTTCACTAATGAAGAGCTCAAGAGAGTCTTGGAGGCATTCATGTATTTTGGACACAATGACAGGTTTTTTACAAAAGCCCTAGAGCAACACATAGCTCCGCTCTGTCTCACCTTGGATCCTGAAGTTATCAGCAAAATGATGGAGTACTGCAGTAGAAAACAGATTCTTTCAGAACCCATTCTCAATGCAGCAGCAGAAACTTTTGTTTGCCAACCAGAAAAATTTTCACCTTGTCAGATTTCTGAAATAATTGAACCACTTGGAAAACTTAATTATTTGCCACCAAATGCCCCTGTTTTATTTAGGAAACTAGAAAATGTGCTCTTTACTCATTTCAATTCTTTTCCACCCAAAACACTATTGAGACTTCTCCATTCATGTTCACTTATAGAATGCCACCCAGTCAACTTTATGACCAAAATATTCAGCCCTTTTTTTCTTCAAAAGCTACAAGGTGAGTTGGTTATGACTTTTGACAGTTGAAAAAAACCTTTGAACTCTGATATTTTTAGACACTATCTAATGATATTTTAGATACTATTCAAAGGCAATGCTCTGCATTTAGTTTTTCCTCTGTGATGATTTGAAGATGAAATCAAAAGTTACAGGTGCTAGTATAAACAGAGCTCAGAATGGTAAGATATTGTGTAGAGGGAGAAAAACTTAGAAAAACAGACGGGAGCCCTAACTGAGATAGGTAGCCTTCCTGTGGGATGAGGTGATGGAGGTGGTGGTAGGAGCTCCTGTAAAATTGGAGAGCTTTTGAACATGAGCAACTGTACCTTTTTTTTTTTTTTTTTTTTTTTTTAAGAGAATGGTATGGTTCATTCAATTCAAAGCCTCCCAAATGCGGCAAACTTCTGCATTCTCGTTAAATTTCCACTAGTTCTCCACACATTTTACCTCTTTTAATATATTCTGTTGCTAGGAGCTTGGGTTCTTGGAAGTCAGTTTCACTGGTGGCAACAGATCCCATAGTTCTAGTGGGTTCATTTCCTAATGCCATTTAAAAGTGCATATTTCTGCAGTGAATAAATTGTTCAGTCATGACGCTCCCTCTTTCCTTTTGCATACTAAATTCAAGCTGAACCATGACAAGTGTTTTTTATTTCAGGTGAAGAGTCAGATTTGGACAGATTGAGTCTGGCACAACTGACCCAACTCTTCCTAACTTCAATCCTAGAATGCCCTTTCTATAAGGTAACATGAACATGAATCGTGTGGCTTTATTCCCCATGAGGCCAGTTCTCTTTTATCCTCTTTGAAATATTTAATTTCCTATACTTTGGTCTATCTTGTAATCTCATTAGAAAGCAGAGCTTTCACTTACTTGGAGTTAGTTGCCACCATATAACCTTTGTTTAATAAATTGGTCCTGATTCTGTGTTCTTGCCCTGGAAACACCAATTTCCTGCTGTGTATGATTCCTTAGAAGATTTCATCTTGTACTGCACGCTTGTGACTTAGGGTGCTCCCAGATTCTCTCTGAGGGTTTCAAAGGGGTTTAGCACTTTCTGTTGGTGTTTATCAAAGTGGAAATCTCTAGACTGAACAAATCCTAAATTATTTCTGGGTATATTTTTAAGCCAAGCCAGAAATTTCACTCATATCTTGGTGAGCTTCGTTTACAGGGAGTGTGCTCTTCCTGTATAGTACCATAAAGGCCCATCCTCACAACCACCACACACCTTTTACCCAAGGTGTGTGGGTCAGAAATAGCATCACCAGGTTTGGCCATCCGCAGCCTGGTCTTCTATACTCTCAACATAGTTATCTGATTGTTTGGCGGGCATGGTGACTCAAACTGTAATCCTAACTTCTTGGGAGGTGGCAACGAGGAGGATCACAGTTCTAGGCCAGCCTGTGCAAAAAGTCTGTGTGAGACCACATCTCCACAAATAAAAAGTTGGATGTGGTGACGTGTACCTCATCCCAGCTAAGTGAGAGACATAAACAGGATCAAGCAAGACCCCTATATATAAAATAACCAGAGCAAAAAGGCGTGGGGGCATGACTCAAAAGGTAGAGCACCTGCCTGGCAACCAAGAAGCCCTGAGTTCAAACCTCCTAGTGCCACCAAAAAAAAGAAAAGGAATATCTGATTTTTGGAATAGGGTCTTAGAAGAATAGGAAACATTACTGTTTTCTTTAAAACAGCTTAGACAGCCTACTATACATAGAGATAAGTAACCTCTTTCCATCTTTGAAGGAACAGTATTAACAGCAGATTCTATGCACACAAATACATATAAAAACTGTCTAGTTTTTCTCTTTTAATGAGACGTGACTAGCTAAACAAAGTACAATTTGCTTTTATATCCAGCATATCATGGACATTCCTAGAGTCAGATAGATAGATAGGTATAGATCGACCGATCAAATGTGTTCTTCAAGAAAGGCATGGTATTTATTCTGCCGTTCCAATATTAAAGCATTTTCAGGTTTTTCAAACTTTTGTCTCAGCAATGCTATCGAAACATACTTGCATGTCTATCTGGAATTTATTTTTGTTATTTCTATGTATTTTTATATATGTATTTTAATTAACTAAATATACATATATATATATTTCTATAGTGTGTGTTATCATATTAACATACCTCACAGTTTTTTTCCTTTGTTATGGTGAATACACTTAAAATCTACTCTTGACCAATTTTCAAGAATAGGATGCATCATCATATACTACCTGAAATTAACTGGGTGCCTGCCAGATGGGTAACCAGTTTGCTAGTATGATACATTACATCACTATCCTTTTCTTTCCAAGTTGAATTGTCATCTTTATCACATTTTCTACTGTTAAAAATAGTTGACAACAATTAGGGCCTTGTAGCCATTCTAAGAGTTCTAAAGATATTTTCGACTGTGATCGTTGTTAAGTTTCTTCCCTTTCTGTTTATAGCGACCAATGGCTCCTTTTTAAACACATTTAAAAGGAATTTTTGAACCATAACAATAATCTCATGCATTGTCTTTTGAGAAAGATATGTGCCCTAAATCCCGGGAAAATATCATGAAATAATTCTATATCAGACTTTACCCAGGTAACCTTTAATTTATTCTCTGTTTTTATCATATTTTTCCTTCTAATGTTTGCATGTATGAATTTTAGGGTCCAAAACTTCTTCCTAAATATCAAGTGAAATCATTTTTTACGCCCTGCTGCTCCCTGGAGACCCCTATGGATTACCATCTTTATAAATCTGTAATGACTGGACTGATTGACCTTTTAGGAGCAAGATCGTATTTTGCTTCCAAAGTGTTGACGCCCTATTGTTATACCATAGGTAAGTGTGTAGGGAGTTTTGTTGTTTTGATCAGCAGTTCCTGTCTTTTCTTAGAGAGGTAGCAGTTAGAAGCCATAGTTCCCTGGAAGTACAAAATGGAATCTTCTCTTTCCTAAAGACAAGTGCAAGCAGTAAGATTAACCACAGGGTTGGAGAGGCTAGACTCTGGGTTTGAGTCTCACTCATGAGCCACATTGCAGAGGCTGTCCTGGGCAAAGTATTAAACCTTGTCCTCCTTGCTTCCTCATCTGTAAAATGAGAGAAACAGTGACCTCAGAGACTTGCTAAATAACTAAATGAAACCCAGTGAGTGCTCAGCAGTTAGCTCCTATCGCAATTTAGGCCTGTGTTGTCCCAAGTACAGCAGCCATTAGTTTATGTGGCTACTTAAATGTGAAGTTAAAAATCACAATCTGGTTACTTGGCCACACTAGCCACATTTCAAGTGTTTACTCGTCATAGTGGCTCATGGCTGCCAGATCAGACAGCACTGGAATAAACATTTCCCTACTCTAAAAAGTTCTCTTGGTCAGTGGTGACTGGGGAGTCCCAAGTCCTTCTGCCCTTACTGTTCTTTTAAATGATTGAGTAAAAGAAACTCATTTCATAGAGGGCAGCAGTTTATAGGCTCCAAATGTCACATCTCACTCCTCTCCTTTACCAGACTACAAAAGGAGTCGCAGTATATGAGAGAGCCAGGAAGGGGGAGTATGTCCTTGCTTATGGACCACATATTCAGCTCAGGATGCTTTACTCACTGTGGGGGGACTGCAAGCTCAAGCTGAGAGTTTACAGTTCCCTAAGTGTTTAACGTACAAGATTTGGTTCACTCTGAATTAAAGGGTCTCGGGCTCTTCTTGCTAGAGACCCCACTCCTTGTTTCAGTTGAGACTTCTTACTTTAAGGCTGATTTGGTGGCTCATGGAACCAATTAACTAAGATCCTTAGCAGTGTTTAGTTGTGGTGGTTACTTTGCAGCCTTCAGCCCACTGATATATGCAGTGTAGAAGAAACCAAAATAGGACAAAGGAATGCAGAGAGGTAGTGTTTATGAGGGTAGCACACCAGGAATTTTTTCTTTCTTCTCTCACCAGATGTTGAAATTAAACTAGATGAAGAAGGACTTGTATTGCCATTTACAGTGCAAGAAGATGTCCATAAAAGGTAAAGAAGATGTGGTTTGTAATGTTGTAAGACTTGTCAAGGTTAATAAATTGATACTTTTCTTAAGAAGGTGAGAAAATAGATGTGATTCTGGAAATTAGAATACTACTTCTCAGCATATCAGTTTTGAAAAGCCCTTGTAATATTTTATAAACAATAGAATTAAATGCTTTTTTTTAACAGATTAAAGGACAACCTATTAAATCGTTGTTTTAAAATAATATTGGGACATAGGAATAGTCAAATCTAAAATTCTAGCAACTAAAAATATATAGTTTCTCGGTTTTGATTTTTCTTAGGGTAGCATTGTGCATTGATGGTCCAGAAAGATTTTGTTCTGATAGCAAACACTTACTAGGAAAAGAATCTATTAAACAAAGACACCTTCGATTACTCGGTTACCAAGTTGTTCAGGTATGTATGCTGTCACCTTTCTTTTTTTTTTCTCCCCAAAAGCAGTTCTTAGTTCAAATTTGCTTTTCTAGGGTATCAGTAAGTACTCTAAAGTACAATAAAAATTTAAAGAGTTTACTTAACTAGTGATTCATGAATCAGACAATGCCAAACCTGAAGAGGTTTGAAGGTCCCCAAGTGAATACAAATGAGGGGCTTTTGTAGAGGGAACACAATGAAACAAAGAAAATACTTGACTCGATACAGTGTACAGTTGCCTTAATTGATCTGTCTGGTTGAGCAGGCCCTAGTTACACAGTTATAAATTTGTGAAGTGTTGCCAATTGGTTGAGTTTAAATTCTGTTTTCTTTGTTACATGGACAACATGAAAAGGCCCAAGTTAGATGTGGCTTACATTTGCAATTTAAGCAAGATTAAGGTTATTTTTGGAGCCATAACTGGTATTCTGCTTTTTAACTGGTATTTTCAGGCATGTTTTCAGGCCCAATGTCCATTTTAAATTATTTTGCAGCAGCCACTGCTCTGATAGTACAATGGACCAAGAATTTATCTCTAGTTTAAATCTTACAAGTTTGTAAATTAGGCTTAAATCTTGAGTTATATCTTGAAATACAAAATTTTTCAAAGCTTGAGCTTTTCAAAATGCCTAAATTCTTTACAAACATGTTTAACTCTGCTTTTGGGATTATTAAGTTATTAGAATTTTTTTACTTTAATTTCCCTTTGATCAAATGAATAAAAATGGACTAGGTGACCCATTAAGTCCAGGACCTTCATCCACCCTTAATGCTTAAGGCCTTGTTTGTGCTTTCCTTGTATATTACATAAGGTCTTATGGAAGGGGACAGCAGTTAATATAAATGATAGTTCCCTAATTCTCTAAGCTATTTATACTAGCTGCTCTCTGGTTTCCTGTCTACTGACATTCAGTCATGGAACCTTGCTCATCTTCAGATTAATTTTCATATAATGAATTGTGCCAATGTGTGTGCAAAAACCATTGTTTCTTTACTGCTTACAGCATAAAGCAAAAACTCCTCAAAGTCTTAGCGCGCACAGTTTATAGTCTGCATGCAGGCAGACCCTCCAGGCACATGGCCAGTTGGCCAGCCCCTCTGCTTCATCTCCTTCTCATTCCCTCAGTTCCCTCTCCTTCCCTTCCTTCTCCACTCTCCCTCTCCCCATCCCTCTCCATTCTTCCCCTCCTCATCCCTCTCCACTCTCCCCCTTCCCATTCTCTCCAGTCCCTGCCCTTGCTGCTTCTGACCCCAGGTTGTTCTCTGGCATGTAAAGATTCTTCACATAGTTCTCTTGCCCCCTTCTAAATGCTGACCCCACTCAGTGGGAGATCACTAGTCTACTACTGACTTTATATTTATTGTGTTGTGACTTCCCACCTGATGTCTGATCTGGAAAAGGAGGCACCTGTTGGTCCTTACTTAGATATTTGCTGGCAAATATTTACTGGGCTCCTGCTGTAGGAAATAGGACTTGGGATTCAGAGACCAGGTGTGTCCTCTGCACTCTTTAGGTCACCTTCTGCTGTTGGGGAGGGTATGAGAAATCAAGGTAAAAGGATACCAGAATCACCTGAAATTGTGGATGGTTGTGATGGTTTTATTTTCCTCCCTTCATAGGTCCCCTATCATGAGATTGAGATGCTAAAATCCAGACTCGAATTGGTGGAATATTTACAAAGAAAGCTATTTCCTCAAAACTCTGCTGTTCATTGGTAAAAAGAAGGAATTATGGTTTCAGGACTCAGATGATGAAAGAACGTGTGGGTGGGGAAGGTTTCATTTTCTTGTTTGTTTTTGTGGTACTAGGCTTTGAACTCATGGTCTGGCACTTGCTAAACAAGTACTGTATAACTTGAGCCAGGTCTCCAGTCCTTTTTTGCCCAGGGCCAGTCTTGGACAGTGATCCTCTTACCTCTGCCTCCCAGTTATAGGTGTATGACGCCACACCAGCTTATTTGGAATAATGTCACACCAACTTTTTGTTGGGGCTGGCTTTGAACCACAGTCCTCTTATCTCTACCTCTCTCCTCCCAAGTAGGTGGGATTACAGGCATGAGCTCTTGTGCCCAGCCTTAAGAACCTGTGTTTTTAAATGACATAATTTAATTTGTGATTTAGCCATTTTTGCATTTTTTTTTTTTTCAGAATTCTGTTTAGACATTGGTGACCTGAAAAGGGTCTGTGGTTTTTCTTATATCATGTGTACATTTACTGGAGGTAAATTTTAAATTAATTTAATACAAGTGTCATATATACTTTTTTACATATAAAAATGATCAAGTACAGTAATAGAAATATAATGAAGTAAATGCTAATTTTTAAGCCTTTTGTTTGTAATAGTATTTTCTAACTGTAAATACAATGCTCTCTAGTGACCTGCATTTTGTCTTCCAACTAATGTAAGGAAAAAGTT